TTTTCCCGCCACAACGCGTTTTCCGCAAAAATGCGATTTTCCGCGAAAACGTGTTTTCTCGCCAAAACGCGTTTTCCCGCCAAAAGCATTTTTCCGTAAAAACGGGTTTTTTTCCACAAAAACGCGTTTTTTTCCACCAAAACGCGTTTTTTCCTAAAACCGCAAAAACGTGTTTTCCCGCCAAAACCGTAAAAATACATTTTTCTGCCATAATCGCAAAAACACATTTTCCCGCAAAAACGCATTTTTCCGCTAAAATCGCAAAAACTTGTTTCCCCGCTATAACCGCAAAAACGCATTTTCCAACTAAAATCACAAAAATGCGTTTTTCCGCCAAAACATGTTTTTCGCCAAAACTGCAAAACCCCTTTTTCCGCAAAAAACCCGTTTTGTCCCAAATTCGCAAAAACGCATTTTCGCGTCAAAATTATAAAAATATATTTAAAATTAATATCATATATATGACTAAATCAAAACAAGGGTATTTTAGTATTTTTCTTACTAAAATCATCTAGATGGAGAAGAAAAACAGAGAAACAAACATGAGTCGATCTAGATGATCAAAAATATCAAAAATGTGGATGGACCATCTAGATGAATCATGTAGATGGATTAGCTGGATGGAGATGATAAATGGTGAAACAAACAGCACCTTATATATCATTTGATAGGATGTGTTCTTGGCTGGAGTGAACGCTGGAGCCATAACGATGATATGGACGATGACAGAACTAGCCAGGAATCCTAGAGCGATGAAGAAGCTACAAGAAGAGATACGAACAACACTCGGACCTAACAAAGATAAAATCACAGAAGAAGATCTAGAGAAAGTTGAGTACCTGAAGCTAGTGACTGAAGAAGCATTCAGATTACACCCACCAGTTCCTCTCTTGCTCCCAAGACTAACAATGTCCGACGTCAAGATTCAAGGCTACAACATCCCAAAGAATACCATGATCCAAATCAACACTTACGCGATAGGACGTGACCCCAAATACTGGACCAGACCCGAAGAGTTCATCCCCGAGAGGTTTGTCGATAACCCTATTGAATACAAAGGTAAGCATTTTGAGCTATTGCCGTTTGGAGCCGGACGTAGGATCTGTCCAGGGATGGGAACAGGGATCACCATCGTTGAGCTTGGTCTTCTTAACCTTCTTTACTTCTTTGACTGGAGTTTGCCTGAGGGAATGACCATCAAAGACATTGATATGGAAGAAGATGGAGCTTTTGCGATCACCAAGAAAGTCCCGTTAGAGCTCGTACCAACTCGTCATCGCTGTTGAAGAACGTAATAATATTTAATGAATTTGTCTAAATACTATTGGTGTGGCTTTGTTTTCATGTTTTGTCGTAACTTGTTTTATCATGTCATGTGATCGGTGTGTTACCAAATAATGTTTTAGTAATGTATACAATAAACCATATGTAGTTTCCCCTTTTTTTTAATTATTGTTATTGAAATGGTCTATTGAATAAAACTTCGTGTTATGATGACATAGCATCATTGACAAACACAATAAAAGTTGACATTAGAGTAACTGCGACAGAAAGATTTAAGTATAACTTAGTCACACAACTCACAACTCAGTTTATAATAAAAATGGTTTTCAAAAGTATGAAGTCTACTTTTAATTATTTTCAAAATACATTACCAAAGACCAAAACTGTGGAGCCAAAACTNCGTGTTATGATGACATAGCATCATTGACAAACACAATAAAAGTTGACATTAGAGTAACTGCGACAGAAAGATTTAAGTATAACTTAGTCACACAACTCACAACTCAGTTTATAATAAAAATGGTTTTCAAAAGTATGAAGTCTACTTTTAATTATTTTCAAAATACATTACCAAAGACCAAAACTGTGGAGCCAAAACTTCTCTAATGTTCTTCAAAGAACCTAAGTATTAATTATACTAGTGGGACCCAAAACATTTTTCATTGACAACATAAATGGTAAATTTGAAAATTGTATATGTTCTCTTGTTAAATCTCTTATATATTATTTACAAAGTGATTTTGATATATGTGATCACCATAATCAATTTCACCCAAAAAAATTGATGACATGTTCACTAATAATAATGACATAGCATAGAGTTAATTATGATACGTACATTTACATTTAATTTTAATATATATTTTTTGTAAATTTTTAAAATACGGTAATAACTTATAAATTATGATATCGTTAGTTTTATTTAGAATATTTCTAAGTTTTAGAAATATTATTTTATTTTATATTTTGATAATTATATACCTGATAAAAATTTCTCTTAATTGTACAGAATCTGATTTAACATATTTTAACCAAAAAAGATAAAAAAAAAAACTTTCCAAAATTTTAATTTTAAAGATATATATATATATATATGTGATTAAATATAAATTTAAATAAAAATTGTTTATTTTATCTTAATTTTTACATATAATTAACGTAAAATAATAATATAACAAAATAATAAATTTTAAAATTAACTAAATTGTATTTTTTAAATCTAATTTTATTTTTACAAGTTTTATTACTGCACATGCTGCCGGAAAACACTTGGTTACAAAAAAAAAGAATTCGAAGAAGAATGTTTAACACCCATTTTACTAATTTAAATGAGAAATATATCCTTTTTCTATTGTGATTAAAAAAATTCCTTCTCTTTCTTAGCTGAAAAACCCCAAAATTTTCATTGGGTTCTAAGGGCAACCCCATCAATGAACCTTGAGGGGGGGGGGAGTTCACAACTTTTTATTTTTTTTAATATTTTTTATTATTTCATTTGATTTTTCTTAAATATATATATATATATATATAAGTGGACCAATCGCAGACCGCCACGTGGTATTGGGCTCGCGAAATAGTCAAGAACCAGATTCACCATAGAGCACCTTTGCGAGATAGGTTCAAAATTAAAGTGGGATCGGCAATTATTTTTAAATTTTATTTTCTGGGAATGTGTGAGAGTTTGTGGGTGTGAACCCTTAATGGAGATGGCC